CACGAACACGGGCAGCACGGCCTCGAAGCCGCCCGACGCCGCGTGCAGCAGGGCGGGGTTGTCGTGCAGCCGCATGTCGTCGCGCAGCCACACGGCGCACACCCTCGCGGCCGCCCCGCCGCCGCCTTGCGTCGACGCCGCCGGAGCGGCCCGCGGCGCGGGCGCGGGCGCGAGCCGCTCGCGCACGGGCGCGGCGTGGCCGGCCCCTGCCGGCAGCTCGCCGGCGCCCGCGGAGCCGCGGCCAACCTCCCGCCGCCAGCGGCCCCTCCGCGGCGGGGGCGAGGCTGCGGCGACGGGGACGTCCTGGCTCGGCGGTGCCTCGGCCGCGGGGCCTGGCCCCCGCGAGCTCGCGGAGGCCTCGCTCGCGGCCGGCGTGCGCGGCGCTGGTGGCCCGCCGGAGGCGCGAGCCGTTCGCGCCACGCAGAGCAGCTTGGCCCCGGGCCCAGCGCCCGGGTCCGCGCGGGAGGACTTCTCGAGGCCGCCGAGGCGATGAGCCTCAGCATCGTTGAACCGATCCCTATCCCATCTGGCGTGGCCCTGGCCCCGCTGGCCGACCTTCCCGCCTACAGGTGGGAATACATGCCTGTTCCTTCGGGTTTCACTGGGCGTGCGATCAGGAAGTGTTGCTTAGCGTGTCGCGGCGGCGGCCCCAGCGACACACAAAGCCCTGCAGGCGGATAACGTGTTGCTCCGCTCCGCGGGGCGGGAGACTGGAAACATCTCGTGACGCTGCCGCCTGAGAAAGGGAAAGTGGATAGCGTGTCGCGCCGCAGCGTGGTGGGCCAGAACGGGCGGAGCGACACGCTAAGCCTGAGCTCCTGACCCTATCCCCACCTACGAGGGTGGCCCCATGGGGATGAGATACCATGGCCCAGTGGGGATGGGGATAGAACAACATATGGATTCCCAGGCCCCCGACGCCATGATTTTCCAGAATGTCGACACCCAGAAGTATCGACTCATTCCCCGGGACCGGTTTTCATCCCGAGTCCTTCGTGACGGTCCAGAGGGCCTGTAAGGGCCCCGATAGGCCGAAAATTATGTGAAAAAACGGTGTCCCGTTTTTTCTTTCGACGCACCAAGATGTCTGGGTTAGCCAGAGGAGAAGGAAGAGGAGAAGGTTGAGGAGGAGGAGGAGGAGGAGGAGGAGGAGGAGGAGGAGGAGGAAGAGAAGGAGAAGGAGGAGGAGGAGGAGGAGGAGACGGAGGAGGAGGAGTGAGGAGGAGTGAGGAGGAGAAGGAAGGAGGAGGGTGAGACGGAGGAGGCAGAGGAGATGGAGTGGGAGGTGGAGGAGGAGGGAGTAGAAGGAGGAGGAAGGCAGAGAGAGGAGGGAGGAGGTGAGGAAGAGGAGATGGAGGAGGAGGAGGAGAACCAGTGTAAACCCAAGAGTCATCAACGATGTTGGAAGAAACCCTCCCTCCAAGCTCGCTCTTCATAGGCCCCTACAACGGTTCATTTCCACTGAAGGAACTGCTTCGTTGGAATACAACCGTTTGAAGACCCTCAAGCATGCCAAAACATTTTTCTCGGGACCCCGACGCCACGAATCAACCTGACCGTTGCGTCCTGACGATCCCGAATCGCACCTGAACAAAATTCCTGGGACTTCAACACCAGGAACCAACGTAACTGTTGCACCCTCATAATCCTGAATAGTTCAACACATCATTTCTGGTACGCCGATCATGGAAACCCGTGAAAACTTTGCAAAAACTTAAAAACCTATGCGCACGTCGCTAAAGCGAAAACCACGTTTCGAAAACGAAACGTCCTCAATCCCCCTCCGCCCGCAATCCGCGAAACGATTGCAAATCTTTATAAGGAATATGCGCGGCGCTAAGGCGAGAACCACATGTTGAAAACGACCCGCCATCTATTCGCGAAAGTGCGGCAAATGTTCAAAAACAAGTGCGCGCGGCGCCAGAACGAGAGCCACATTTTGAAAACGACCCGCCCTCAGTCCGTGAAGCGCTTTTGCAACTGTTAAAAACGAATGTGTGCGGCGCTCAGGCGACAGCCACATTTTGAAAACCACCCGCCCTCCATTTGTTAAAAAGTTAAAAAGTTGGCATCTGATAAGCTTCAGGGTCTTAAGCGGTGTGCAAATCTCAGGCGAAACGCCCGGCCCGCCCTAAAAACGGGCCTCGGGGTGCGACAGGGAGAAGTTGCCCATGAGGAAGAGGAAAGGAGGAGGAGGAGGAGGAGGAGGAGGAGGAGGAGGAGGAGGAGGAGGAGAAGGAGGGGAGGCGGACGAGTGCAAACCCAAGATCCATCAACGATGTTGGAATAAACCTTCCCTCCGACCTCCCTCCCCGCAGTCCCTTGCAAGGACTCACTTCCAATGAGGGAAGTGCCCCGTTTGGAGACAACCGTTTGAAGACCCTGAAGCGTGCCAACACACCGTTCTCGAAACTTCAACGCCGCGAGTCAACCCGACTGACTCTTGAATATTGACGATCCTGAACCGTGCCGTAGCATTCCTGGGACTTCAGCACCGCGAATCAAAAGTTACTGTTGCGCTCTGGCAATCCTGAACCGCTCCACAACACCATTTCTGATACGGTAACCATGAAAACCCGTGAAACGATTGCAACTGTTCAAGACGAACGTGCGCGGCGCTAAGGCGACAGCCACAATTCGAAAAGGAACCGCGCCCTCAACCCGTGAAACTCTTGCAAATGTTTAAGCGAACGCGCGATGCACGAAGTCGAGAAACACATTTTGAAAACCAGCCGTCCTCGATCCGCGAAACTCTTCCAAATTCAATAGTCAAGAACATAGATGGCGAGGGGATCTCAGGCAAACTGCATGGCACGCCCTTTCAACCGACCTCGGGGCGCAACAGGGAAGAGTCATTTATACGGAACAGGAGTGGAGGGAGGAAGAACGAGGGAGGAGGGAGAGGAGGAAGAGGAGAAGGAGGGGGGGAGAAAGAGAGAGGGGAGGAGGAGGAGGAGGAGGAGGAGGAGGAGGAGGAGGAGGACGACGACGACGAGGAGGAAGAGGAGGAGAAGGAGGATGAAGGGGAGGAGGAGGAGGAGGAGGAAGAGGAGGAGCATGAAGCGTGAAGCAGAATTGGCGGACCCCAGGCGCAAGCCTGGCCGCGCGCAGCACTCATCAGTCACGTGGGAAAATCATTCCCGGCTTTGGGGGAAGCCCACGACTGAGCCTCTCCAGGGCATCTCTCCGTTTAGCAGCGGGGCCCGTGGGAGGACATTCCCCCTTCAAGTCCCGTGCACTCACTACTCCGAAGGCCCCACATTCTTCACAGAACAACACACCGTTCAATAAACGGAGGGCGTGCGAGGGATGGGAGACGGAGGCGAGACGGTGGGAAGAGGTGGTCTCCTCCGCCCCCTCCCCCAGCTGTACCCTCCCATCACCTGCAGGCCCGGCCAAGTGCACATGCTTGGACCCGCGGCACGGCCCTGGCCTGAAACAGTAAAGGGGGCCTTTTTCAGAGAAAACTTCACAGAACAAATACTACACGGATCAAAGTCCTGAGGACCACGGGACTGCACTGCTGCTCGCGCACCCGCTCCACGCGCGTGCGCATGCTGGTCCCAGGTCCACGAACACGCACACGCTCATGCCCCACATCCGTGGCCTCGCGTGCACAAATCATGAACACTTCACGCTGGATGACAATCCATCGACTTAAAATGTCACGATGGAGCTGGTCCTCTCGGAGGGTGCGTTCGATGAGGGAGACTGGGATGCTGCCGCGGGTAGCCGCCTCGTTCGCAAGACCGTCGGCCACCGTGTTCAAGAGCCATTCAATCCTTGTCAAGCCGAGAGCAGCCACTTCTCGCACAGTCGGGTGCGACTTAGTCCACCTAAGCTCCACCTCCCCCTCCCTCTCCTCCAGGATACCCCAAAGCTCCACCCAGAGGTGCAACATATCCGATTTCTGCAACAATATCGGTGCTTCACGAAAGCCCTGCACGACAGGAAGGTGATCAGAGAACATGAGCACCCTCCCCACAGTATGACGAAGCAGCATAACCAACGCCAGCAACTCGGCCCTCTGAGGGCTCTGGATCTCTCCAGGAAGTGTACCAACGAGGAAGCCATTCACGTCGGTGAGGCAAGGGCCTAAGCGGGCACACGCCCATCCGCACCGCCTTAGTCTCCAATCCTTAGTGGAATGTCCCCCCGACCCGTCGATCCCGAACACACCTCCAGGGGCATGACCATCACCAAGAGATCCCCAGGACCAGACGTGATCGGCGGGCGGGGGCAAGTGACCGATCGACCTAGATTTAGGCATGAGCCCGCGACACCACAGGGCAGGACAGGCAGCGGCCTCTTCAAGTGCTCGAGCACAGAGAGTCTGGGTACGATGAACAGCTGCAGAGGGAATATCATCATTGCACGGGCATTTCCAGAAACGGTGAAGAGGGGCTTCAAATTCAAGACCACAACGCCGACAAACGCCCTGGGATTAGGTGTCATATCCACTTTCATGTAAACGGGATTCGGTCCAGAAGCCTCCCACCAGAGTATTTCTCAAAATCCCCTGCCACTCATAGTCCTAATCCTTCCCCATTTGGGATAAGAGGGGGGAAGAGGAGGATGAGGAGGAGGAGGAGGAGGAGGAAGAGGAGGAGGGGGAGGAGGAGGAGGAGGAGGAGGAGGAGGAGGAGGTGGCTCAAGCCGTTTTCCTCTCGAGCGTGGCTCAGGAGGCGCCTGTGCAACTGACCCGCTTTGCCTGCAGCAGCCGCTGCCAGGTGGAGCATGGCAAGGGCAGCGGGGATGTGGAGCCGCCGCGTGCACCGATGCCCAATCCAAGTGGACGTGCAAGCATTGTGGATGTAAGAAGAATGATCGGAAGTTGTGGATGGACGTACTGCAGGAAATGCAAGAAACTGTGGAATGAACCTGTGCTTGACGGCGGAGACCACGAGGCGTGCGGCGCGCCACCAGGGCCCGCCATCGTTTCATTGACAGCGAGACTCCAGCCACCAGCAGGGGTCTTGAAGCAGGCCCTCGAGCTCAGCATGGCAGAGCTCGATCAGCTCATGGCACTGGGCAAGAAGGCAGGCAACACGGCGATGGTCGCGAGGTACCAGGCTGTGCGAGAATACAAGGAGAAGAAGCGCGGGCGCCGCCCGCGCCTCCCCCGCGCCTCCCCTGCAGCTGCAGGTCCAGGCGGCCCACCAGAAGGTCCAGAGCCTGGAGCGCCAGCTGGACGCGGAGATCGACAAGCTCACGGCCATCCGCCTGCAGCAGGCTGAGCAGACTGCCCTGGCCGAGACGATCACGGCGCAGCTGGAGGAGGCGGACGGCGCGCACAAGGGGCACCATGCGCAGCTCCACACCACCGTGGTCGGGGCGAAGGAGCAACAGGTCGCATGCCAGGTCCCGCTCGCCAAGCTCCTGCAAGGGGATGTTAGTTGCGTCGATCTCTCGGACTGCGACGCGCTCTCCGGGATCGAGGATGTGCATGGAGTCGCCGACGATGAGCGCGAGAATTTCGAGGCTCCGAAGGAGCAGTTGGCCGGCGGCATCACCAAGCTGGCGACGCAGCTCTTCGGCGAGGTCCAGCAGACGGCCGAAAGGCTCAAAGCCAAGCATCAGAAGCACAAGGGGCGCCTCTCCGAGAAGAAGCGCAAGACCGACGGGGAGCAGTCTGCGGCCGACGGCAGTCCCGCGGACCCGAGCGCGACCGACGGCGGCCACGGCGCTGCTGTTCCTGGCACACCTGCTCGTGACGGCAGCCAGCCAGCCGCTGCTGCTTCGCCAGCCACCGACGTGCGCCACCGCGCCGCAGCGCTGCTTGCAGAGAACGGCGAAGGAGCAGCGGGCAGGGGCAAGGGCAGCGGGGCGGGAGGCCCTGCCGCGCCTGCGCCAGCCGCTGGATCGGAGGGTGGCCGAGCGGGGGGCGAGGTGGGGCGGACGGACGGGCAACAGCAGCAGCTCCCCAGGGGCCAGCAAGCGGCAGTGTGACTCGCCCCCTGGAGTCTTCTCTCTGCCGCCATCGCTGACGGCCTCCGCCGCCCCCTTCCCACAGACCTCCCTTTTCCCACCCTGGCTCCTAGCGCAGGGTGCCAGACCCCCCTCCTGAAGTGGCGCTGGGCCCGGAAGGCCTTGAGTGCCCTGAGCTTGGCCGAGCATCGAAGGATGGCTCGGAGTCCCCTCGCGATGCCAGGAAATCACCGGGAAATCAACCAAAGTTTCAATCGGATGTGGGGGAGACCCGTTTTGTATAGAAATATGTAACTCGACGTGCTGGAGTCGCCTCAAGCAGTACCTCGAGAATGAGACGTCACCCCGTGTCGTCGTGTGCCAGGAGATCGCCGCCGAAGCTGATGATGTGCGCAATTCAGGGGACGAGCTTCGGAAGCTGGGGTGGAGCGGATCGTTGCAGGCCTCGACAATCACTGAAGCTGGAGGATTATCAGCAGGAGTGGGGGTATGTGTGCGGCCCTTCATCGGCATGGGCTTGCCCCCAGCCAAAGCATCCTTGCCTCTCCCACACCGTGTGCATGCCCGTTGGGTCAACGCCTGCATCCCAGGGGGGGGTCCTTCTGGCCAGCCTCTACCTCCCCAAAGGGCGACCCGCTGGGGGGAGGACGGAGGATACATCCGTGCGCGACTAGGAGAGGTGCTCTACGGATGGGGGCTTCCCTATGTGATTGGAGGCGATTGGAACACCACGCCCCAGAAGCTAGCAGAAGCAGACTGGGTCGAGAGGCTCGGAGGAGTCCTTGTCTCGCCAGCCCATTACACGCGTGTTTCGACCAGCACGTGCTGGAGGACTATCGGCGTGTTCGTCATGTCTGCAGGACTGACCAAGAGTGCTGCGAGCTGCGAGGTGAACGACGACACCTACATCGCCACGCACTGGCCCGTTCGAGTCACCTTCTCGGGCGCCCCGCTGGCGCTGACGGTCTGGATCCTCAAGACCCCCAAGCCCTCCCCAGTGGAGCCTGCCAGGGGACCGCATCTGGAGGCGCCGTCTTGGGACGATCTGCTAGGGGCCGCGAGGCTCCGAGGGGACCGGGAGGCCTTGGACGAGTGTTGGAACTTGCCAGCTACCACGGAGTCCAGGGCCAGTCTGAGTACCTGGGCAGGGGGCGGCCGCCGAGGCGGGCCCAGGCGTCCGCCACTCGTGTCGGGGGGCTGCTACCCGCTGGGCTCGCCTGAGAGTCGAGGCTGGAGGCAGGTCTCCTGGTGTCAGGGGCTGCTCTACATTCTCCGCGCCGAGAATGATTGGGGCGGGGCAGGAACCATGGCTATCATTAAAAAACTTGCGCGTGGCCTTCGGCGTCTTGAAGCACTCCGTCGAGTGGCAAAGCTGGCAGCCAGATCTGGTCCATCTTCTGGAAGCTTCGGAGGCATCGCTTCAAGCTCGAGGGAAAGCAGCAGCTGAGCTAGCCAAGCGGTTGGAAAGGACCTTCACGGCTGACCGCCAAAAGAGATGGCGGAAGCGGGTGGAGGAAGCTGTGGAGCGAGGTGGGGGGTAAAGCACACAAGTTCGCGAAGGCGGCTATGGGCTGGGTACTCGAGAACACCGATGCAAAAACGAAAACGAAACACTTGCCGACAAGCCAGCAGGCTCAGGTCGACGAGCTATGTCGTGATTGGGTCAAAGAGTGGACGCCCTCTGAGCAGACGCCTAATCACCCTGATCCGATAGAGTACCTCACTGCTGAGATCAACAAGCAAGCTGCCGCCAGGGATTGCACAGTTGCCAATTTGTATCAGCCACCCGACGGCCAGCCGAGATTCGTAAATGTGTTCGCGGTCTTAAGCCTTGGACTGCTGCTGGCTGCGACGCGCTGCGGCCGCGGGACCTGGCCCGGGCTTCCGACCAGTTTTTAGAGACCCTCGGAGAGATTTGGAGGTGGATGGAGATTCAGGGCCAGGTCCCAGCTCTGCTATTACATACTCACTTTGCTCGCCATGCCTGGAACACCTGAAGGTGGACTCGGGCCTATCGGCCTCCCGCCGACCCCCACGCGCGCGATGAACGCGGCTAACAGAGCGGAGGCCAAGTCCTGGGAGCAGGCCCACAGGCGGCCGTACCACTTCGGGGCCCAGGGGCGAAGTTGCGAGAGGGCCGCCTGCGGCCGAAGACGCCAGTGCCAAGGGCTGCGACATCGGCTCCGCGCACATCGACCTCACGAAAGCGCTCGAGGAGATAAATCACCACTTGCCCGCCGTCTCGGGCACGGGTTCGATCTTATTCGGCTCAAAGTTCTGGTCGTGATTTACCGAGGCCAGAGAATGGTCAACGTTGCTGGTACCTGCAGCTGCTCAGGTGCTGCAAGGCATATTGGCATGGTGCATGTACGCCACGACGCCGCTGCACATGTGTCTGCCCGATCCCTTGGACGACGTTCTATTTCACTGGCAGGGCGCCAGCCTTTACAACGCCATTGATGACATCACTGTCTCAGGAGCTGGGGAGAAGAAAGGAGCTATCCAGAGGGTCGGGTCTGCAACAGCCTACCTATGCGTGAGTTTGGAGGGGCTCTTCCTGGGGGTATCGGCGTCTCAAGGGTTCTGTCTTGGAGGCCCTCACGAACTGCGCAAGGGTCACAAGAAGCGCCTTGCCAAGTGGAAGTTCGGTGCTACCACGGGTGCGAGAAATCTTGGGGTGGACCACAGTCTTGGGACCAGAGGACCAGGTAGTTCTAAGCTTGCGGCCGCCCGCGCGAAGAAGGTCAAGCCCAGGACCAAGCGGCTTCGTGGCTTCGTGGGCTTCGGCATCGTTTCAAGAGCATGATGAGTGTTGCCCGTGCTGGAGGCCTGGCGGCAGCGACGTACGGGGTGAGAGTCTAGGGCACTTCTACGACTAGGCTCAGGGACCTCAGGGCCACGCTCGGGAAAACAATCTGCGGGACCCCGAAGGGCCGCTGCCGTACTCTGGAATTTTTGCTGGGTCCCAACCCGCGCGTCGACCCGACCGTCGAGTCTGCGCGGAGTCGCCGCAGTTTCGGCTGGGCGGACGTCCGCGGGCATGCAGGCGCAGTCCTTCTCACAGCTAGGCGGATTGGATGGCAAGTTCGCAGCTACACCACTTTCGCCACCAGCAGCGGCGTCACGGTAGATTTGAGCTTTCTCGGCTATCGGTCCCTAAAGACGGTGTTGGAGAAGAATATTCGGAGCTCCCTGGTCCGAAGTGTTGCTGGGGAAGACGAGGTCCCTGGGCTCCCAGCGGGCCCTATATTGGAACCGGACATCGGAGAGAGCGTGATCCACCGCCGCTTTACTCTGGAAAATTGCCAACCTTTTCCTCCGGAACCCGGGGGTCGCCCCCCCCCCCCTCCGAAAATCCCCCCCCCCTGCTGGAACCCCTCCCCCCCCCCCACCCCTTCCCCCGGCAAAACCCCCCCCCTCCCCTAACCCCCCCCTCCCCCCCCCCTCCCCCTCGAAAACCGGGGGGGGGTCACTACCGGTTCGAACTCCTCCACCCCCCCCCCTCCGGATCCGGAAAACCGGGGGGGGTCACTACCGGTTGGAACCCCTACCCCTCCCCCCCCTTTCCCACCCCTCCGGATCCGGAAAACTGGAGGGGGCCACTACCGGTTCGCACCCCCCCTTCCCCTTTCCCCCCCCCCCCTACTCACCGCCAGCAAACGACTCCCGGTCCCCACCACCGTCCGCATCACATCCCCCACTGGTGTTCCCAGCGCCACTGTCCTCACCACCGCAGTCCCCACTGGTTCCACCACCGCCCCTACTGTCCCCACCAGTGGCCCCACCACTGTCGCACTGTCCCCGCTGTCCCCAGAACTGTTCCCACCACGGTTCCACTCTCCCCACTGTCTCCACGGCCCCAACCACTGCCCGACTATCCCCACTGTCCCCGCTGTCCCACTGACTCCTCCGCTGTCCCACTGAGCTGTCTCACTGTTCCCACCACTGTCCCCACTGTCCCCACTACTGTCCCCACTGTACCTCTGTCCCATTGTCCCACCGCCATCCTCGCCACCGCCTTCACCACTGTCCCCACCACCATTGTACCCTCCACTGTCCCACTGTTTCCACCTCATTCCCATTGTCCCCACACCACTGTCCCCACCACCACCGTCACCACCACTGTCCACTGTCCCCCCTGTTCCCACCATTGTCCCCACCACTGTCCCCACCACTACCGTCCCCACCACTGTCCCACTGTCCCACTGTCCCCACCACTGTCCCGCTATCCCCTCACCACTGTCCCCACCAACACCGTCCCCACCACTGTCCGCACCCCCACTCGGTTTTCGAGGGGGGGGGGTTCGAACCGGTAGTGGCCCCCCCCGGTT